GCTAGCTTTCCCACTAAAGAACACAGCACTCGCCAATGGCTAACCTTTGCGGAATCCCCCCCCCCCTTCACCGCCACGTGTTAACCATTGCAACGAGAGATATGCAAAGAAGCATTCGTGGTGTAATCTGAGAAAGATGAGGAACGTCCCCAACCACCAGTATTTCCCTGGAAAAGAACTGTGCAGAAGAGAGCACATAGATGCGCTCTACCGACCTGGGTTAGGAAGCAGGCACGTTCATGACTTGACCGGCTATAAGAAAACCCCGGTAAGCGAGCAAAACATCAAAGCAATGGAGATACGAGCAGAAAGAGAAGGTCGAGGCTGGTGTTACAGTGAAGACGAAAGCGGGAAGTGGCGCTTAGCCCACACTAGGACCTGACGGACTTCAGCACATACAGCATTTTGTTGAAAACAACCGCTATTCCAGCAGCGAGAAAGCAGCAGCCGACTTGGCTAATGTCGGTCCAGCAGGCGACTCAGTAGGTGCTAGGCAGGTGAGACGGCGCCTATCAGAAACCCATCGCATTGGCTTCCGCATAAGAAAGTCGTCCTCACAGAGGCACACAAGCTCCACCGTCTTGTAAGGGCAATCGTCCACCAAGACCATGCCTTCGACCAGACGGTATCCGCCAACGAAGCTTGCTTCGCTGCCTGCCCAAATCATGTTCTGGTTTCCTCGCGATTCTGTGCCTGTTCTTGAGCAGTCACAGCATCCGGCGAAGGTGCACGTCTTCGGCGCTGTGTCTCTGTCACGCGCAGCAGCACATCCTCGACAACGGCATGCCGATCATTGCGTTTCAACCTGCTCGTTCACCAGACCTAAACCCGATCGAGAACATTTGGAGCTTGCTGAAACGATGACTGGCGGCACGCAACTGGTAAACTGCAGATAAGCTACACAAGGCTCCGATCTGCCGATGTGGCGAGTTTAGCAACATCCATGCCAAAAGTCTGCAGGAAGTCATCGCAAATAATGGTGGTCACAGCAGATACTAGCCCAGCTTCTCAGCTACTGCAAATAAAATAAAATCATGACAAGACTATCATGACAAGAACACTAAAAACACTAAAAATGAAGTTTTGCTTAGCGTAACAAGTATACAAAGTTCACTAATTTGAGGAAAAGACACAAACGGGGACAGTCTGAAGAAAAAATTGACTGTCACCACCAGGACTCGAACCAGGGATCCTCGCTTGTAGCCAGCGATGCTGTCACCACTGAGCTATGGTGTAGTCGTCATCCCAGCAGAATCTGTTCAACATTTTCTTCAGACTTCGTTCCTCACACTTTGTGTTAATCGACACCGGTGGGTGGGATGCAGACCTCACTGTTACCCACACACTTCACGTACAATGTAGGAGCAGGAGAAGCGACAGCAGGTGCAGCAGCTGTGGGAGCAGCAGCAGGTTGAGCAATAACTTGATGACTGACTAGGTAGACAACAGCCACCTATGTAGTGGGTACTAACAACGAGACTGACGTTCCATAAATAGTCAAGGGACGAGTTCACGCACCGCTGCCACCAATGTAGTGGTAGACGAGTGCACGAATTTACTTTTAATCGATCTTCAGGTACGCACCTGGATTGTTAGGTTAATAAAAGAAGCGTTCGTTCGTGTTTCTCCTCTTCCTGGAGCGCGTCACCGTGGCGCTATGTGCAATGGGCATGGAAGTTGCAAAGGAGCGAGTGTCAGTGGTCATTTCTGCTACAATGCCGGAGGGAAAACTTTATTCAACGATTTATAACCCAGGGTACCTAACAGCCAAGGTCTTCCAGCCACAAGCAAGTCTGCCAAAGAAGAAGACACCAGCACTGCCTTCATCTTCTGAGCGACGCCATAGAGGACAAGTGTGCAGAGGAGGACTTTCGCCTGAGACAGAGCACGCACTTTCGGGACAAGCTCTGGTCATTCGCTCGGTAGAGTTACATAAGGATCCGTACCATGAAGCGTTGTGTAGCCACAAAGGAGCGCATCGATACAAATGCATGGCTAGAGCATGAAATTACGCAAGCCGCATCACAAGCCCAGCTTGGCGTTCGGACCAGTAGTGCGGCGACATGTGATGGATCCAGTGTCCAGCGGGCATTGGTTGTGGATGATTGTGTGCCGGACAGCACCAGGCGGATTCTGGAGCTTGGACCGAGCAATAATCTAGCACCACCATTCGCAATATTGTTCATGCACTCTCTGGAAACACACCTTCTGGCTGAGTCACCGGTTCTGCCTGTGCTGTACAAACGGTACATTGATGATGTGATCATTCTCTGGACCCACGGTGAGAAACGCCTCTTGGTGCTAATACAGCACTTCAATGCAGGACACGACCGACTCAAGTTCACCTACGAGCTCAGCAGTAGCAAAGGCTGGATTGATTACATGGACGTGACGATTGCCATACAATAGTCGGGCCAGATGACGTACAAGCTCTGTCAAAAGCCATGCAATAGTGGATTGCTGATAGACTACGCATCTGCTGTGCCCCATCACATCAAACTTGCCGTTGCCTAGTCTCAATTCTTAAGAGCACAACGTCTGTCTTCCAATGACACCATGTGTGAAGAAAGTGAACAGAAAAGACCAACTTCAACTCAACTACTATCCAGAGAGCCTCATCATTTGAGGAAGCATGCGATATACCGTCTGCAATGCAAGTTGTGCAGGGTAAAATACATCAGAGAGACGGGTCACACACTGGAGACGAGACTGAAGGAACACAATGTTGAAGCTTGTAGGTGGACTGTGAAGAAGCCATGGGTGACCACATGTGAGCTAAGCATGCAGGGATCAACCTGAGTGTCGGGGACAGCATCTTCTCAGCAGTGTCTGTGATTGCAAGGTCCAGTGACAGGGCAAGCCGCAAATTGTGGGACGCAGTCGAGATCAGAAACGAAGGCCCAGAGATCAACACCAGTGCTGAATGGTCATTACTCTAAAACAGTCACACCACACTGGTTATCTACAGTTGCGCGTGTGCCGTATGAACTGTGCGTGTGCTGTACTCATACGCATGCATGCTTACACCAAAGTGTAAAAACCGCCCCAAACAAAGACAAGTGCAACATTCATTTCAGTTCAGGACAAGTAAAGAAGACGGAGATCGCTTCGAAGCGGTTTATTTCATACACAGAACAGCAGGGCTTCAATATTTTGTGTGGCCACCGTCTGCTTTGATTAGGGCTTCAACACGACGTGACATTGACTCTACGTATGGGGAAACCGTGTCAGGAGCCAACAAGTCCCACTCCAGGTGCAGTGCCTGCACCAGCTGGTCAGCATTCTCGCAGCGATGTGGAATTATTCTCTTCTTGTCAAATCTTGAGGAGAGCCCACACATTCTCGATTGGATTCATGTTGTGTACAACCTGACCTCCCGTACCCGTATGACAACCTGCTTCGTGTACACCAGCTCTTGCGTGAGACAGTGTGCTCGCTGGTCTACCGGTACCGGTTCCTACATTCCACCATGGAGCAGCCGCTGATCAGCGCATTATTTGGAGATTTCGACACTCCGACTAGGGCTGGCCAAACGCTCGGCTCCCAACAACATCTGCTGCAGCTTCCATCCAGAACTCATCCCGTGTCTCTTTCTGCTGCACGCGTTTGGAACAGTCTTCCACCTGATGCGAGAAACATCACGTCCCCCCTCCAGTTCAAGGGTGTGTTGCACGCGTATTGTCTTACTGTAGCATGACAGCAACCCCCTCCCCTGTCTTGAGTACTAGTATGTAGTAATCCTGATGCTCTGATACATACCGAGGCTAGCTGTATGCTCAGTCTCCGGCTAGCTGTATGCTCAGTCTATACATTCTTGATCTTATCTTCTTCTTTTTCCTTTCTCTTTTCTTTAAAATGTTTTATTGCCAGAAGTGGTCTTCATATAAGGAGGCAAACATGCCTGTTTGTTGTTCGACTTCAAATAAATCCAACTAACCAACCATTGTCCGGCGAAGAGGGAGGTTGAAACAGGATGTTGGGTACTCTGCTATCGAGAAGATCCTGCTGTGCTTGAGTGAAGTGAATGAAAGACATTTTGAACTGTTTTTAGCACGCAACACGTGCACTCCGAACTTTTATGCGTACCGTTGAGTTCATACACACAAATCGCCAGTGATGTAATGGGAGCTAGCTTCGCGCCAATTCGCGGCTTTGCACGTCGGGCCGGATTTCACCGAGCGCAACTAGAGGTGACAGTATTTTCTGGAAAACACTGACATGGTCACTTTCGTGTATTGCTCGCGAGAAACCTGTTCAGACATTTCTCAAGTTATCTGGTGACATCTGCGCTGTGCTATAAACTAATAATTACTTACTACGAACACACAGCATAGAAGTCAGTGAAAGCTTGTGTTCTTTCACTAGTTTTAGACATGTCATATTCAACAACATGTGTAGTCATAGAAATATTAACACCTAAGAACACCAAATTGATGTATATAACTTCTCCTTTGCAGACTTCCACTTCATATAGCATCCTGCTGAGGGCAATTTGCCAAAAACGTTGAAAATGATTCTGAGTAATGAAAACGAGTCGTGAATTTGCAGTGCCCAGGGAATGAGCATGTGTGCTCACCAATTCTCTTTTAAAAAAAGAAGCGGGAATAAAAAGACCTTTCTCCGGTACACACCTGGAGGTTGAACAGCTCTTCTGTTCGGCTTTGTTGTTGTTATCAAATCTCATGAAAACAGAAATGGCTAGCAGCTTTTATAGGCAACAGACCACATGCGCTAACGTATAGGGATACGCTAAAGTACGAAGATACGCTACAAGCAAGGCAGGGATACTACACAATGTACATCTTATCCAAGTCATGGGGTGCGTATATCGGAAAAGAGATTTTTTGCGTAGTTCTGTTATTTTGATATGCGGTAAATGTGTAAAGCACGGTATAAACACGGTATAAAGAGTGTTAAGAAATTCTTCCAGGAAGTGGTATACATCCTATCAAAAATCTACTTTGTTCTCCCAGAAATTTGTTGAAGAATAAACTTGATCACCTACCTGCCGGGCTGTTTGACGCGACAACCGAATTGAACTACCTGTAAGTCATGTTGTGCATGTATCGTAAAAAGGCGTTTTTTTGGCGTAGTTCTGTTCTGTTGTGGCGAATGGGATTTCGGGATGTGGCATCTAGGCATATGCGGATAATGCCGTCAACAAATTGACAGAATTCGGTACTTTTTCTTGTAAATTTCATGCATGTTTAGTATGTGAATAAAGAATTAGAGCAAAATTCGACAAATTGCCTGCCATAAGGTTTGTATCGTTCTGCCAATTTCACTGCTTTTCGAGCAGAATCTGCCACCTTTTCGATGATTATCCACCAGTGCCCAGTGGCATCTCGTTGGTTGACCTTAGGTACCCTTCCCCACTCTTTATGACCGATACCTGATGCCGCTCACGAGGTGGTCGCAACCAACGTAAGCGAAAATGTGGTTCTTTATCCACCCTGTACCGAAACTAGTGTTGTAACGAGCATATCTATAAAAAACGAACTATCAGTTCCACTAACGAGCAAGCTATCGAGCGAGCTAACGAGTTTCATTGATGTGGCAAATATGAATTTTTGAATATACTTTTTTCAAAGTTCGATTTTTTTCAGCTGCTTCAAATTATCACCGCAAATTATCACCACTGGCATAATTGGGGTTGCTGCTACCTCACTTTGGACTGCTGTTTGGTGTCGAGATGTCTTTTCGGCGCCGTGGTTAAGCAGCCTTTGTAAGAATAGACCGTTTTGCAAAGATTGCAAGTAGCCCTGGTCTTCGCTGCATCGCGGGAGAAAACTTCCAAACAACTGAGCGTGAACTTTCACTCAGATGCGGAACAAGACATCAGTAGAGTCCACCAAAGCTGCAATGACAACACAAACAACTCAAGTGTCGTGCAGGCATACAGACACTGTAACTGCGAGTGATATTCACGTTGCGCGGGACTGGACTCTCTATCGACCAGGAAATCGTTATATATTTTACGACTCCCCGGTCGACATGTACTGCCATGTGTACGGAGTACGGTGTACCTTGTTTGTTAGGGAAAAAGAGCTGGCCGCACAAACGAGCCGAGTTTCTGGCGAGCGAGTTAACGAGTACCCGGTGAGATCGTTTTACCACTAACCGAAACCCGTGCAGAACCAAGAGCAGCCTTGTATCAGATACAGTTGTATGTAGACAGCTATGAATGACCATCCGTCTGCTAAGGAAGAACATGGCCACTGCAGGTAGCCATGGAGTTTTGACATCATTCAGGTCTACAAAACCAGAGAAAGATAGCGAAATAACAGCAGCAAAAAGTACCGTCACGATCGCACAAATCGAGATTTGTGTGTGTTAGTGTGTGCGTGTATGTGTGTATGTGTGTGGGTGTTACTATGTGTGTGCGTGTTAGTATGTGTGTGTGTGTGTGTGTGTGTGTGTGTGTGTGTGTGTGTGTGTGTGTGTGTGTGTGTGTGTGTGCGTGTGGGTGTGTGGGTGTGGTATGGGAGCGAGATTAAGCGTGTGCGTGTTAGTGCTAGACCTGCGCCTACTGCGTCTGCCACTGAAATAGCCTGACCATGTATACATTCACGCAATTACTCCTCTTGTTCACCTACCTGCCGGGCTGTTCAAAGCCACAACCAAATTACAAAAACTGTAAGTCATGTTGTGCATGTACCGTAAAAAGGCGTTTTTGGCATAGTTCAGTTCTTTTCAGATACGGCAAATGGGTTTTCGGGATTTGGCATTTCGTTAATTATTGTTACCAACCACACAACAAGCCGACCTGTTTGGGAGCTATTACGCGTTGTATTACCAGGAGATAGGCAACAATTGCCGCATACAAAATGCAATATTCTGGTCCAATGCCAGAGCTAGTATTGCAAGCACCGCTGTGTGTTATTATGGCCAATGCTGACACTAACTGAGGCAACAGTTGCCCGGCGAGAATTCAGACGTGTCAATACACGAGCATGCAGTAGGGATGCACTTGTGGGAGAAGGTAGGCGCACTTGGCTGAATGCCGGCCTGACCCACGATCCCTACTGTTGAATTCAGACGTGTCAATACATGAGCATGCAGTAGGGATACACTTGTGGGCGAATATAGGCGCACTTGGCTCAATGCCAGCCTGAATCACGATCCTTACAGTTCTCCCAAAAATACAACATGACCCAAACATGATTTATCGGCATTACTATTTACAGCAATAGATGCGAGCGCCGTCCAATGCGGCTGCCCATTAGCATAGTGGGCAATGCGCTTTAAGTACCGGATCTGGAACAACGCTGCTGGCACTGATCAGTCCCTGGGTGTAGCTTGCCCTGGCTAGGTTCTGCTCCGCTGCCAGAGCGGCCAAGTCCTCGCGTACAGTAGTCTGGAGCCAACTTCAACTCGAGCAGGCGAGTCCGCAGAGCGCATTTTGGCTGGACATCGCTCAGTGACAGAGATATGGTTGATCGGATATTGATCAGAAACTGGCCGCGATCGTCAAGCAATTTGACCGTCATTGCTGCAAAGCAAAGAGCGTTATGGCTGGACATCACTCACTGACACTGACAGAGACATGGTTGATGGGATATTGATCAGATACTGGCCGCGATTGTCAAACAATTTGACCGTCAGCGCAGCAAAGCAAAGAGCGTTTTGGCTGGAAATCGCTCACTGGCAGAGACTTGGTTGATCGGATATTGATCAGAAACTGGCCACTATTGTCAAACAATTTGACCGTCAGCGCAGCAAAGCAAAGAGCATTTTGGCTGGACATCGCTCACTGACAGAGCCATGGTTGATGGGACATTGGCCGCGATAGTCAAACAATATGACCGTCAGCACAGCAAAGCGAAGAGCTGTGAGCACAGCAAAGCAAAGAGCGTTTTGGCTGGACATCGCTCACTGGCAGAGACATGGTTGATCGGATATTTATCAGAAACTGGCCGCGATTTCATGACCCAGGGGCTGCTGTGGCTGTCGACGTCAGCGAGAACATCTGGCGTGTCGTTGACGTACGCCTGGAAAAGTGTTGATCCAAGAATGCTTCCATCGGGGACTCCAGCGGTGGTTGTGTACGTAGATGACGTACGCCTCCAACGAGGCACTGTAAGGAACGGGTGTCGAGGGAAGAGGCCAGCCATCTCTGAAGCAGACCATTGATGCCTAGGCTACGCACCTTGTGAAGGAGGTCGACATGTGAGACACGATCAAACGCTCCTGTGATGTCCACAGCAAGGTGTTTCGCCGCCCTCCACAGCCCACAGCGCTTGCCCAGGCAGTTTGGAGAGCTTGCAAAGTGTCTGATGTTCCGAGGCCTCCGCGAAATCTAAACTTGTGCGACGTGAGCAGATGGTGGTCCTCAAAATAGTTTACGATGTGTCTGTTTACTAGAGTTTCCATGATTTTCGAGATTATGCACAGTAAGGATATGGGCCTGTAGTTGAGCGGGAAGGTCGCTTGTGGATCAGAACCACGTTGGCCGTCTTCCACATCCTAGGTTGGACTCTAGACCGGAAGCATAAGGCAAATAACTTGGACAGTGGCTCTGCAAGCTCGCGAGCACATTCCTTAACCCTTTGCATGCTGAGCCCCTTTTCTCCAATCCACTGGCCGTCCAGCGCACTGACTCTCTTGGTGGAGTATGCACTCACAGCTCCGAACGAAATTTATTCTGATTTTACTGAACCTTGATGGATTTTCATCGTCCTGGGCTCGTTGGAAAGATCAGGACCAAGCGAATCCATCCTGGCAGCTCTCAGCTCCATAGACACATCAGGGCCACATCCAGGTCCTCTCCGAATTACTCCACCGTGCCTCGGAACGGCACAACAACTCAATTTCACATTCTTGTTCGGCTTCTTGCCCAAATTCAACAGATTTTCAAAATTCAAACTGCGCTGCAAAGCTCAGATCCAAGCGCTTCATTTGATGCCGTGCCAAAAGGGAAATCCCCTGGCACGCTCTGCAACAAAAAGAAGTTATGAACAAAAACATTCGCGTTCACTCTGGGCCGTGATTTCCGTGTTCATCTTGTCGCCGCTCAATGAATTCTTATCCTATCGCGAAGAACTTTATACCCCCGGAAAGATGAGGTGAAGATCTTTCCAACAGTGTATTGATTGTCGCGATGCGTTTATGTTTGACGAAGTTACGAAAGTTTGTACACTGGTCTATGCACTGCGATACAGCGCACGTTCACTCTGGGCCGTGATTTCCGTGTTCATCTTGTCGCCGCTCAATGAATTCTTATCCTATCGCGAAGAACTTTATACCCCCGGAAAGATGAGGTGAAGATCTTTCCAACGCGTTAACGGTGTATTGATTGTCGCGATGCGTTTATGTTTGACGAAGTTACGAAAGTTTGTACACTGGTCTATGCACTGCGATACAGCGCGCGAATTTTTTGCGAGTTAACTCGTACGTAGTGGATCAGGTCATGCATAAAGTGCGAGTTAACTCGTACTCAGCACGCAAAGGGTTAAGAACGCAAGCAGAAATACTGTCAGGCCCTGTAGCCTTTGAGACGTCGAGCTTTGCCAGGAGGCGGCGCACAGCCTCTGGGCGGAAGCGGATGGTGCGAAAAGGTGGAGCATCTGAGGGAGCAGGGTCCAGTAGCTCAGCCTCCACAAGGTCCGGACCAGCAATGCTACATTTCTTTGAAAAGAAGCGAACAAATGCCTGGCTTTCCCTGAGCTCGTTGCCCACTCGCGGCCGTCAGAGTTGACAATTAGGGGAATTTCGAGCTGTGTGCAGTTGCCAGCGGCGTTCTTCAACTCCGTCCACCACTGTTTGTCTCTGAGGGACCCAGATGAGAGGCCGCGACAGAGGCTGACCTCCTTTGCACGTCATGATCGGAACTGAGTGGCGATCGTTACAGTCACGGAATTGGTAAATGCCTGCTGAAGTGCTGAGTCATAAGGGTGTTTTCTTCTCCCTCTGGGTCTGGGTGAATTCAATCGTCCACCATACCGGATCAGAAAGCCTCGTTTCCAGAACTTTGGATGGGACAAATTATGCAACAGCTGCAGTTATCGAAGCGGTAACTTGCTCACAGGAAATTTCCTCCGTGATGATATCACCCCATTCCACGTTGCGAAGGTGCGCCCTGAGATGATCCCAGTCTGCCCTGTTGTAGCAAAATACGGGGGGGGGGGGGGGGTTCACGTCTATGGAGCACATCAGAAAAGTCTGACAGTACAACTGCATGGTCAGATCGACCGAGGGGTGGAAGTGTACGCGTAGTTACTGGGGACGTGAATGTTGACATTATGAGGTCTAGCGGGTTGTCTCCACGGGTGACATGCTGGAAAAAAGATGGGCAGCAGGTATCTTCGAGAGCCTCGCCTGCAGGCGTAGTTTTCGAGCTGTTCAACCAAGCCTAGTTGTGCACGTTGAAATCGCCAGCTAGGATAATGTGGGGGCCCTGCTGTCTAGCTTCTGAAAGGATGGTGTCGGGATGGTCAATTAGGGTGAGATTGCCAGGGGCACAGGACTCCGGCCGATACACTGCTCCCAAGCCGGTGCGGAGACCTGGGCCCAGCTGGAGAGAAAACCAGATGATCTCATGTGCGGGGGGCATGAGTTCAGTGATGAGCATGGAGGGGAGTGACGACTTCACCCAGATGGCTGCCCCTCCCCCGTGTGCCGTTCTGTCCAACCAAAATGGTGAGCTGTATCCAGGGAAACTAATGTCAGAGGGAAGCCCTCTCTCTGCAGTGAACTTCGTTTCTGTCACAATTGCGACGCCGGGCTGGTGCTGCAGGAGTGTGTGCTGTAGGTCGGGAAGTTTGCTGGCTAGGCCTAAAGCGTTTGTGCAGAGAATACGAAGATGCTTGCTACCCTTCATTGCAGGAGGAGGTAATTGAAAAGGGGAGTGGAATTTGGCATAAGCGGGCGCATGGCTACATGTATGGCTAAGGGTCCTAAAAATCTAATGAAATACCTAAAAGGTGTGGAGAACAACGTCACTGTAGGCTAGGATTGAGTATCATGTCACACCAGTTTGCTGAGGCGTGAGCCCTGTGCTGGGGCAAGGGGTTGGCTGTGGCTAGGGTCCATGTTGTTGCTCTCTTTTTCTTTCTTTTTTGGGATTTTAGAAATCAGGTGAGGATTCCGCACTGGGACTGGTTCTCCTGCATTGTTCGGAGGTAATCCAGGGGTTTGCTGGCTGTTTAGACATGTCTGTGTTAGACACCTGTGAGGATAGGAGATATTCAGCAAGCGCCGAATCTGGGTGATTGCATGTTGTGATGGTAGGAGTGGTTGTGTCGGTGTGCGGTGAGGTTGGATGTTGTCGTACCTGCACCTGTGCTGCCTGGCGGCGTTTCAGGGTGCACAGTCGTGCTGGTTGCCGACATGGGCGATATAATGTCGGGTTCGTACTGGTCGTTGACTGGGTCATTTGGTGCGAGCTGGAGAGCAGGTCCGCTTTCCGAGTGATGATGGCACCGTCGGAGGCGGTTTCGGATACGGCGATGGCGTGGGTCAAACTCTGGGCCGCTTTTCGTGCCGAGTCGGTACGGTGAGAGTCAGTTTCAGCTCCGCTGTTCCGCTCTGTGCTGCCCGTGCTGCTGCCTTTGCTGCCGGCATGCGTGGAGGTGTGTGCACTGCGACGGTTTTGGCTTTATTCCAACAAGAATGGGAGAGATATTTTCGAAAATTTGGAAATAGCTCAAAACCCACTCGTTGCTTTCATGATGAGTAGACCCATCCGAACTCGTGAGACACGAATATGTTTCGCATTGTCACGACTTGTCTCTAAACCAGCTCCCCCTTCGCGAAGAAGTTTCAATAACTCAATAAGCGTGACATTTAGTGCGACAACAAGAGATAATCACTGGACATAACTAACGAGGTTTTGACAACCTACCTAACAGCCTAAGTGTGAATTTAATTTGCTTATGCTTGCTTGCAAAGGTTGGGTTTCTTTGTGTGGATGTATACGGCTTCAAAACAATCTAGCACTGCGTACACGTGACACAATTGAACAAAATCATCTGAATACACAGCACAACAATCAGGATGCTCAAACAAATGACTAGCAATGGACGACTCATACAATCAGGATGCTCAAACAAATGACGATGGACGACTCATACATCAGAATAATCAGCATGTGCGGTGGACACAACCGATACCAAATGGCTAGTCGTGTGGACCCTAGCCATTGCCACTGTCAGTGGTTTAGACGCTGCCATCGCCGTCGGTGCCGATCTTTGCTGTTGCTTGGCGTTGATGTCAGTGCTTTAGACAGCCATCACCATCGTTGCCAAATGTTGTCAACACCTGGACGCACGCATCCGACAACAGGAGACGTCCAGCAAAGAATCATCCTGGTACAAGATGATCTAACGCAGCGGCATCAAAACAAAGCAGCGTCACCTCACAATTAACTAGACCACCGGAAAAACAACCGGACAAGACACTTACTGGCATGGCAGTGACAGGAACCGCATCAACTAGAAGAATGACAAGATCAGCAACGACGGCAATGGCAGCAGGAGCAGTCTGAAGAACAAATTGCCTGACTCCACCAAGACTCGAACCAGGGACCCTCGCTTGTAGCCAGCGATGCTGTAACCACTGAGCTATGGTGTAGTGGCCATCCCAGCAGAAACCGTTCAACATTTTCTTCAGACTTCGTAACTCACACTTTGTGTGAATCTATACAGGTGGGTGGGACACAGCCCTCACTGTAATCCACACACTCCACCTACAAACTAGCACGCAATAGTCTTTCAGGATCATACATCCTATCCAAATTCTACTTTGTTCTCCCAGAATGTTGGCCGAAAATCAACTTGATCACCTACCTGCTGGGCTGTTCAAAGCCACAACCAAATTAGAAGTACTGTAAGTCACATTGTGAATGTACCGTAAAAAGGCCTTTTGTCCAAGTTCTTTTGAGATGTGGCAAATGGGATTTCGGGATATTGCATCTCGTTGAATGATGTCATGTACCCTTTATGACCCGAATCTGATGCCGCTCGTGGAAGACTTTTCCAGGTAGAACTCCGTGTTGGAAGCAAAGAGCTGAAATAGTGTCTTTACAAGTTCCATTGCGCATTCCTTCAAGAAAGAAACTAGCTCCTGCGATTTCTTTTCCACTTAGCCACCTATTTAACCTCTCCTTTACCACAGGCAAGTTCCCTACCAACTGGAAACTGGCTGAATTTTTGCCTATTTACAAGTGCAAAGGCAGCAAATCCCAAGCGAGTAACTATCGCCCAATTTCCCTCCTGTCCTGTATTTCCAAATTTTGCGAATGGCAATTCTTCAATCAATTATATAATTCTATTTCTTATGCTCTGGATCCCGCGCAATCTGGGTTTCGTCGTGGTGACTCGACCGCTCTACAGCTCACCAAGCTGATCCAAAACATTGCCGACTATCGTCATATGGGGCGGAAAGTTGCCATATGCTTTTTCGACCTCGAGAAAGCTTTTGACACCGTGTGGTACTGTGCATTACTTGCTAAACTTTCCAAAGTTTTCGGTGTTTGTGGCGCAGCGCTAGAGTGGATTACAGACTACCTATCCGACAGAACGCAAGTTGTCTTTGTAGGTGGACTTCTCTCAGATGCCTCCCCTGTTCTGTCCGGAGTGCCGCAGGGATCCATCCTAGGGCCTCTCCTTTTCCTAGTCAGTGATCTTCCCAGTCATGTTGAAGGTGTGTCCTTATTTGCTGATGATACTGCACTGCTCCGGTTCAATGAGTGTCCAGAGAGACTGCGAGACAGTCTCCAGTGCGGCATCAGCGAAGTCTAGGACTCGGATGACTATGCTCAAAACCCCAATAATGACTATTGTGTTGAGCTCATCACGTTATCTGGTTGCAGTAATATAGATCAGGTGGGTATAGAGACATTATGTCGATAGGAATCAACTTTATTCTCTTTGTCGAGCTATGTCGCTCCGGCAACAGATGTCATCCATGCGTGAAACACAAAATTACTGTTGGCATCCTAAAAAATGCACGAAACACACGACAGACTTAACAGATACACGAAATAGCCATGGATGCATTTCCGTACCCAACAAGTCGATCTCTCCGGGTTGTACCTGAAAAGCAAGTGCTCGAATCTGTCACACCTGTCATACTGGCCAACCCTCCCGGTTTTCCCGGGAAAATGCCGGGAATCAACACTACTCCCGGGGTCCTGGGGATTTGAAGGAAAATACCGGAAAAGTCACAGTTTCGTCTGATACAGGATTTTTCTGAAAACTCCATGGATTTGCTTTGAATGTCCCGGTTTTTTCAAAAATATGTACGGTGAGCACTTGCACTTCGAACTGTTAACGGCACTTTCAAGACCTGACCACAAGATCTGCACTGACAGGCGCTATAGGCGGGCGCCGACGCGCCGACTGATCGAACTGCAGTGCACGGTTGAACTGTGCCGTACGCAGATCTGCAGGTCTGCAGAGTTGAACTTTTTTTGGCGGGAAAATCCCTTTTCACTTGTTTTGTGCCATCCAGGGATTTTGCGAAAAATCCAGGGATTCTGCATGTATTGTCAATGGATTGAGATTTTTGTGGTTGGTCAGTATGCTACGTGGTCGAAATTTCAAATGATATTCCTGGAAAAGAGGTTGCAGCTAGATCCCGAATCATGAAGTGCAGGGCATCGTACCTCTTCATGGTTTCACTCAAGCAGCATTCCATCATACATCACAGTAGTAGCATAGCAAAATATCATGTTGCTGATCAACCTGATCATCTGGATTTTGATTCTGATCTTGATTGTCGATCAAATCGATCAAATCCGTCGATCTGCTATGTCACGCGGTGGTCGGCACACGGCTAGTTTCAGGACGTAAAATATCGTGCTTCGATCGCACAAATCGAGATTTGTGTGTGTTAGTGTGTGCGTGTATGTGTGTATGTGTGGGGGGGGGGGGGTGGTGTTTGAGCGAGATTAAGCGCATGCTTGTTAGTGCTGGACCTTCGCCTACTGCATCTGCCTCTGAAATAGCCTAACCATGTATACATTCACGCGATTACTCCTCTCGCTATCGTATTATCACACCTCTCTCTGCTTAGATATACCAGTGCTGCCTCCTATTCCATTATCGTTGTCTGATGATTGGTTCAGCCATGAAACTCTGAGTCACAACGGAATTAATTTGCCAAGGTTTTCATTGTGTGCCTTTGTGTCTTTTGTGTAAATAATAATAATCCCTAGTCATAACTCGTACAAGGTTGTCCTTCTGCTCTTTTACCATAATTAAATTGGCTCACCACTAGAACTAAACATCATAATTTATTGTTTTACTGCTTATAGAGTTCACTACTTCGAGGGTAAGACACAAAGGGGAACAGACTGAAGAAAAAATTTGACTGACACAACAAGGACTCGATCCAGGGACCCTCGCTTGTAGCCAGTAATGCTGTAACCACTGAGTTATGGTGTAGTGGTCATCCCAGCAGAAACAGTTCTACATTTTCTTCAGACTTTGTAACTCACACTTTGAGTGAGTCTACACAGCCGGGTGGCACGCAGCCCTCACTGTAACCCACACACTCCACCTACAAACTAGCACGCAAAATAGTGTAATAAGAAATTCTTCCAGGAAGTGATATACATCCTGTCAAAATTCTACTTTGCTGTCGCAGAAATGTGTACGGTAATCAACTTGTTCACCTACCTGCCGGCCTGTTCAAAGCCACAACCAAATTACAATACCTGTAAGTCATGTTGTGCATGTACCGTAAAAAGGCGTTTTTGGCATAGTTCTGTTCTTTTCAGATACGGCAAATGGGTTTTCGGGATTTGGCATTTCGTTAATAAATTATTGTTACCAACCACACAACAAGCCGACCTGTTTGGGAGCTATTACGCGTTGTATTACCAGGAGATAGGCAACAATTGCCGCATACAAAATGCAATATTCTGGTCAAATGCCAGAGCTAGTATTGCAAGCACCGCTGTGTGTTATTGTGGCCAATGCTGACACTAACTGAGGCAACAGTTGCCCGGCGAGAATTCAGACGTGTCAATACACGAGCATGCAGTAGGGATGCATTTGTGGGAGAATGTAGGCGCACTTGGCTGAATGCCGGCCTGACCCACGATCCCTACTGTTGAATTCAGACGTGTCAATACACGAGCATGCAGTAGGGATGCACTTGTGGGCGAATGTACGCGCACTTGGCTGAATGCTGGCCTGACCCACGATCCCTACTGTTCTCCCTTACGGGATGGCTTAAAGGATGCACTTGTGAGCGAATATAGGCGCACTTGGCTCAATGTCGGCCTGAATCACGATCCTTACTGTTCTCCCAAAAATACAATCGGCATTACTATTTACAGCAATTGATGCGAGTGCCGTCCAATGCGGCTGCCAATTAGCATAGTGGGCAATGCGCTATAAGTACCGGATCTGGAACAATGCTGCTGCCACTGATCAGTCCCTGGGTGTAGCTTGCCCTGGCTAAGTTCTGCTCCGCTGCTGGAGCGGCCAAGTCCTCGCGTGCAGGCTAGTCCGCGGAGTAGGTTTTGTTCCTGTCGGGTCTAAATTGCGGGATGCCAGTGCGTTTCGCAGCTCAGCAGAGCGCATTTTGGCTGGACATCGCTCTATGACAGAGAAACGGTTGATCGGATATTGATCAGAAACTGGGCGCGATCGTCAAGCAATTTGACCTTCAACGCAGCAAAGCAAAGAAGCGTTATGGCTGGACATCGCTCACTGACACTGACAGAGACATGGTTGATCGGATATTGATCAGAAACTGGCCGCAGTTGTCAAACAATTTGACCGTCACTGAGTTAGCACAGCAAAGCAAAGAGCGTTTTGCCTGGACATCGCTCACTGACAGAGACATGGTTGATCGGATATTGATCAGAAACTGGCCGCGAGAGTCAAACTATTTGACCGTCAGCACAGCAAAGCAAAGAGCGTTTTGGCTGGACATCGCTTACTGACAGAGCCATGGTTGATCGGATATTGATCAGAAACTGGCCGCGAAATTCAAACAATTTGACAGTCAGCGCAGCAAAGCGAAGAGCTGTCAGCGCAGCAAAGCAAAGAGCGTTTTGGCTGGATATCGCTCACTGACAGAGACATGGTTGATCGGATATTGATCAGAAACTGGCCGTGATAGTCAAACAATTTGACCGTCAGCACAGCAAAGCGAAGAGCAAGAAACAACAGCATGGCGAATTGGAGTAATGCGCATGCTCCGCACAGTCCCGTGAGGAAACGCGGGAATTCGGAGTGCATGCATGTTAAGAGTGTACCAATGTTGCTTATGGCAAGGATGTTGGTGTGTTGCTAACTCCACTTACCGTGCCATGTACGGAAACTTATATATCTCATGGACCCTCCCCCACCCTTTATGACCCTAATCGGACGCCGCTCACGGAAAGCTTTTCCAGGTGGAACTCCGTGGAAGCAAAGAGCTGAGATAGCGTCTTTGCAAGTTCCCTGGCGCATTCCTTCAAGACAGGAGCGGAAAAACCGTCGGGCCCAGTCGCCTTTGAGGAATTCAAGATGAGGTAGAAGCCGGTGGACTGCATTGGGACAAAAGTGAACTGTCGTTAGTGCATGTGAGCCAGTGAATGCTGTGTTCGGTAAGTCCATCGTAGTAAGTTTGAGGCCTTGCACACTGCATTTGTTGGAAGAGAAACGTGAGAAAGCTTCCAAGTTCTCGTAACTTGTGGCCGTATCGCAACCTTTAAGGTGGCTCGCTCCTAAATTTAAAACTATAGTCTGTTTCAAAAAGATTTACAATCAGGTTTGGGTCTTAAAAAGTATGAAGATAAGGGAAATTTGGACAACAAAGTACATAGAATGGCTTGTTAGGACACTGCAAATTGTTCTGTGAAGGTTTCGGAACAACGGGACCAGCCGTTAAGGAGTTAGAATTTGGGCCAGGTTTCCGGCCCTTTCCCATGGGTTACAATTTGCCCAGGAAGCCAGTATCGATTTTTATCAAAACCCACGATTTATCCTTTCCTTTTTGGCCTTGTGGTTATGAATGCTGTCTGCTGACCATGCAGTTGTGAGTTCAAATCCCAACCTATCCTCAAGTCAAACTTTTTTCTCATTGTTTTGGTGATCAAGCTGGTACAAGACAAAGAAGATGGCTGCACCAAACGACTTGTTGTTGGAGCTCGCGCTTCCTGCCGAACTGGCTGACACTTGACTGGCTCACGCCATGTGAACACACCCACAACACTGCAATGGTGTGAGTGAATATGGAAGTCATCGTGCTGTAGCTTTTTGAGATTTATTTTAGTATTTCAAGATCGCCAATTTATTTGAATTTAGCAGTCAACGCCGTCTTCTATCAACGTTCACAAGCGTCTGTTTTTCTCAAAATGTCGTCGAAGTCACACGGATAGCTTTGCCAAGTCATGGCCTTGGGAATGAGTCCGTGTCGATGTCGTTTTCGTCACACGGTGAGAAACTATTTTGGTCACAAAACGGACCCATGCAGCTCGTCAACATTTACAACACTTTCGTTTCGACATGTCCTCTCTGACTCCATTATCGATATGAGGAAGAACTAGTTTGTTGTAAACCAGACGTACATGACTGTATCAACGTGAGTGAGTTGTCATTTTTCCTGCTTTCGCTCGGAATATTTCTTCGAGTTCACAGTGAGTTTTTCCAGGCAGCGCTCGAGTGATCATACGGTAAGACGTCAAACTCCACGGGCGATCGCCAGGATTGCAAATCTTTTTGAAACGGACTTTAGAGCTCGAATCCAGCTATCCAGGCCAACAGAAGAAAAGGTTAGAAAAGGTTAAAAGGTGAGTACGAGAGTTCAAAGGTGGGTTTGAGAGTAAAGGTGAGAACAAGTCTGTAAAGATGAGTACGAGTGTGTGAGTGCAGACAAGTGTGTGAGTGCGTACCAGTGTGCGAGTGTGTGCATATGTGAGATCGTGAACCTAAGGCGGTGTTTACATGAGGCGTTTCAACCTGGGTTGAGTTCGACCCGGGTCAGATTTCAACCCGCCATGTGCATAAAATGAATTGCGCGTTTACATGACGCATTGCGCTTGACCCGGGTTGAAATTTCGCCCCGGGTTGATTTCAACCCTCCCCCAAGGGGAGGGTTGAAATCAACCCGGGTCAAGAAAATCGTACAAACGTACCTCTGTGCGTATCTCGCGCCAGGTTTGAACGGCACTGCAGATGCAAATTTCGCGCGAACGGATTCACGTGATCATACAGGACTGTAGAAGTGGACTTTTGGCGGCATATCAGTATTTGACCCGGGTCAACTGTCTTCATGTCAACGCTCACCTCTTTTGTCTATCGTACAGACTTTCAACCCGGTTTGAACTCGACCCGGGTTGAAATTTCTCATGTAAACACAGCCTAACATGACACCCCTACTTGAAAAGACTCCGCGTCCATGTTTAGAAATAAAAAGGAAGGAAAAAATTGCAAATAGATCGAATATAAAGAAGTTTATGGGACAACAAAAGAGAAAGAGCGAGAACAATTAGCCGTAATAAGAGGGCTACAGGACTGTAGAAGTGGACTTTTGGCGGCATATCAGTATTTGACCCGGGTCAACTGTCTTCATGTAAACGCTCACCTCTTTTGTCTATCGTACAGACTTTCAACCCGGGCTGAACTCGACCCGGGTTGAAATTTCTCATGTAAACGCAGCCTAACATGCCACCCCTACTTGAAAAGACTCCGCGTCCATGTTGAGAAATAAAAAGGAAGGGGAAAATTGCAAATAGATCGAATATAAAGAAGTTTATGGGACAACAAAAGAGAAAGAGCGGGAACAATTAGCCGTAATAAGAGGGAGGGAGCGAGAGAGGGAGCGAAAGAGAGAAAGACAGAGCGAAAGAGAGAGAGAGAGAGAGAGAGAGAGAGAGAGAGAGAGAGAGAGAGAGAGAGAGAGAGAGAGAGAGAGAGAGAGAGAGGAGTAAACATTGTAAGTGATGTCCAAGATGTCGATTGGTGAAATCTTGCAGCGTGGTTTGCGGGAAAAAGTCAGGGAAGGAAAGCTGCAAAACAGGCCCGTACAAGATGAACGACAAGGACAACAGAAAACGACAAGGATCCCGGAAACCAACAACTTCCAAAGCCCATGCCAACACACTCCACATGATCACGCATATAACAAACACAGGCATAACGGTAGACAACAAAGGTACAGGCGAGCGCATGGCGTGGCGAAATCCGTCGAACTGTGGCTGTATACTTGAAACAAAAGAGAGGTTTTGCATTCCGAATTTCGGAATGATTTTCGACTGTGCTTTTCCGAAAAAACGGTATTTTCAGTGTTTTGCATTCCGAAAATCTGATTCGACTTCGTTTCCAAGGGTTGCCATGCAAAACAAAATGGAGAGCGTCGAAGGGGTTGATCAAATCCATGTGCGCAGGTCAAACTGAATTTTGGGTGCGGTTCGAAGACGAGGACGGACTGATGGTGGACCAAGTGATCCAACAGCTGAAGACGAGGTTGAAAACGTTGGCGAATTACTGTCTTGTGCTGTCAGTAGGCTCCATGGCAAAGGAAGCCAGAGTGTGATGGAGTGTGAGAAGATTAGTCAATATGGCGAGATCAGCGAGAGCAGCAAAACCAGCCGGATACATGTACGTGGAAAAATTTCAAATAACCGAGAGCAGCAGAAAGCGAAAATAAAAACGTGAAAAATACACTTTTTGTATTCAAATATGCACTCCTAAACATGAAAGAGCCGAAAATCCATTTTC